ATATCCAACTGCTGGTGTGACATGGCTGCCTCTCATTGGTCTGGGTCATCTCCAGATCATGTCTCAACAGCTGTTGCTAAGGCCCTTAGGCAGACCCAGGTTGGCTCTCAGAAAGTATCTTTTTTACTTGTTTGGGCCAGCTGGCCCTCAAGCTTGTTAGGGATGACTCATCCCACAGCTGTTGTTCTTTTGTCAAGAGACCTCATGACCAAGGCAACTTATAGAAATAATCATTTAATTGAGGGCTTGCTTATAGCTTCATAGGGTTAGTTCATGATCACCTCATAGGGAGCATGGTAGCAGGCAGGCAGGTATGGCACTAAAGCAGAGGTTAAAAGCTTGCATCCTGATCCATAGGCAGGTAGTAGAGAGACAGCGAGACAGGGCCTAGCATGGGCTTTTGAAACCTCCAAGTACACCCCAGTGACATACCATCTCCAACATGACCACATGTTCTAATCCTTCCTAAACAATTCTACTAACTGGGGTCCAAGAATTCAAACATATTAGCCTATGGAAGCCATTTTCATTAAACCCATCACACAGAACTTGTGTCAGCTTAGAGATTCTCTCTGGTGATCCTTAGAAATTTGTGGAGAGCTTACTGGATTCTACTGGTTCTCCACAAGTGTTAGGCGCAAGTAGAGGTGGTTGTGGTAGAAGCCAGATTTGGTGACTTATTGGGACCAAGGACTCAGAATGCTAAGTTGGTCCTGGGGATTCTTGGTAGGTGGGTTTATAAACTGTTTCTGGGGTTTTCTACCTGGAGTTCCAGGTCAGATTTCACACAGTTCTAGTACCATGGTAAGTAGGGTGGCTGATAGGCAGGCGGTTGAGCAGAATGTGTCTGGGGGTCCTATTTGGAATTCTGGGTCAGAATTCATGCAAGACCAGTGCCAGGTCAAGCTGTGGATAGGTAAGTAGAAAGCAGGTGGAGAAATGGGTCTGTGGGAGTTACCTGGATTTTCAGGTCAGACTCCACATGGTACCAGGTGGGGTATGGTTAAAGTGACTTCCTGGAGTTCTAGGTCAGACTCCATGAGGTGTCATTGCTAGGCTGGTTGGTGAATGTGGTGATAGACAAACAGGCAAGCAGGCAGGGGAATGTATCTGGGGACCTATCTCTCAAATTATTTTTATGTTAGGCAGTTATCATTATAAACTTTCCTCTTAGGACTGCCTTCACTTTGCCCCAAAGAATTTGGTGCGCTTTGTTTTAATTTTCATTAAATTTCAGGAATTTTTCTATTTCTTTCTTGATTTCTTCAGTGGTCTATTTATCATTCAATAGTGTGTTGTTTGCTTTCCATGAGACTATACTTTTTGTGGTTTCTGTTGCTGTTGATGTCTAGCTTTATCTCATTGTAGTAAGTGGGAGTACAGGATGTTACTTCAGTTTTTCTATATTCATCAGTAATTTCTTGTGTTCAGATATAGGGCCATTTTTGGAAAATGTTCTGTGGCCTGCTGATGAGAATATATATTCTTTAGTGTTTGGGTGGAATGTCCTGTAGATTTTGTTAGGTACATTTGATTTGTTAATTCAGTTTAATTCCAGTGTTTTTCTGTTGTTTTCTCTGGATGGCTTGTGTGTTGGTGAGAATGGGGTATTGAAGTCACCTACTGTAGGTGGAATTTTCTGTCCTGCCGGCTAGCTCCCAAATAACCACACAGAGACTTATTATTAATGATAAATGCTCAGCTGATAGCTTAGGCTTATTACTGACTAGCTCTTACAACTTAAATTAACCCATTTTTATCAGTCTACATGTTGTCACATGACTCAGCGTTTACCTGCCCTCTTGTATGTCTTGCTTCCTCCCTGTCTAGCTGGTGACTGCCCTTCTTCCCAGAGTTCTTTCTCTCTGGCTCTCCCACCCATACCTTCTCTAGCCTAACTATTGGCCATTTAGCTCATTGACAGTGAGATATTTTCATGGAGGCAAGAAAGATGGATTATATTTCCTAATCCAGTACACTAACCTCTTTTGAGAGTAGGGTGGAATGAGACCATTCATGTTAAGTTACTACTGAAAGATGTGTACTAATTCCTGCCATTTTGTTGATTTTTTTCTCCTCCGTAGATTAACCTCCTCTGCTTGGCATTGCAGAGCTTCTTCAATTTCAATAGCTAGTTTTGTTGAGTATAGTAGTCTGGATTGACAGTTGTGGTATTTCAAGATTTAGAATACATCTTACCAGACCCTTCTAGCTTTAAAGTTTTCTGCCTAATAATCAAGTATTATTCTAATGGGCTCAACTTTATAAGATACTTGACCATGCCCTCTTCCCAGCTTTCAATGCCCTTTCTTTATGTTTTTAGTATTTAAGCTATAATATAGTGAATAGTAAAGTTTTGTGTTGTTTATTTTCTGACCTGGTCTATGTGTGTATGTGCCTGTTTTTCTATGGCCCTGGTGTTCTATGTGTTTATTGTACCTGGATAGAAATCTTTTTCTCTAGATTTGGGAAATTTTCTTCTCAAATTTTATTAAAATTAGCTTCTATGGCTTTGTTATGTGTTCTTTTTTTTTCTTTGCCTGTAATTCTAAATTTTCTTGGTATTTCAAAGTTCTTCCATGTTCCATTCACATGCTAGAAAAATTATCATTGACCTTTACTGAGTGATCTAATTCCTCTCCCTTGTCTTCCAGCACCAATACTGTATTTTCCACAAGATCTATTCTATTAGTGCAACTTTCCACTGAGATAATTTGATTATTATGTTTTTTCATTTCTAGCTTATTTCAATAGATTTTTTCCCCAACAATTATATTTCCTTATTGAGTTATGTTTTCATATCTTGGAATTATTTCCTCCCTTTTTTGTTGTTCTCCTGGGCTGTATTCATATCTTTTCTGAGTTGTTCAAGCAGAGCTATAATCATTCTTAGAATTTTTGCTGAGATTTCTTCCAGTTCATTCTCATTGGGAACCATTACTGTCTTATTAGTAAGTTTTTGAAGTGATATGTTGTCTTGGTCTTTCTTTTCACTTTTGTTTTAGTGCTGGGACATGGTGTATTTGTTGGTAGAGTTTTTCTTTTCCCTTCCTTCCTTCCTTCCTTCCTTCCTTCCTTCCTTCCTTCCTTCCTTCCTTCCTTCCTTCCTTCTTCCCTCCCTTCCCCCCTTCCTTCTGTCCTTCCTTATTTTCAAATCACCCCCTTTCTATGGAGGCTGTACAGTGTTCAGGGGTGGATTATGTTGTAGATGAGTTGGTATGTTTACTTTTGTCCTTAATATTCCCTTCCCTAGAAAGGAAATATTTCTAGAAGGAATGGGTATATCCTGAGAAGAAACTTTTATGAATGAAAAGTTGGCAAAATAATGCTCAGAGAGCCAGAGAAGAAAAGGCAAGAAAGTGTGTAGAGAGCAGCATACAGATCTCTTTATAAGGCATTACTAAATAGGGGAGGTTGACCTGTGAGGAGAGTTGGTACTATAAGCCCACCATCTGAGTTTCCATACTTTCCATAGGAATCCGGTCATAGAAATTGGTAAAGCAAAATGGAATCATTTCCTGTTTGGGCAAGGTGGATGGTCTGATTTATTACCCAATCACCTGGTCTTACAATTTATAGAAATCTGTGAGACAAAGGTTAGAACTATGTCTCTTCATCTGCAAATGGTTCTTTCTGAGGGATAATGGGGCATGGGCCAAGGCTACCCTCCTTGTCTCCATTTTGATATAGAGTTAGCTCTTCCTTGTAGTTTGGGTAAAGGAAAATGAGATCTTACAGATCCCCTTGTATTTAAATTGGCATATATTCATTGTAATTTTGAAATATGTTTAAGATCAACTTGAAGGTGTGAAGTACCCTGAATTAACTACTAAAGAAATAAGCTGCTAAATATTTAGAGAAATTTAAAAATTAAAATAAAAAGAATAAAAATCAGATTGTTAGGTAAATTAGATGAAGTCTAGACTATTAAAGAACCTCAGTTTTAGATTAACTGAATGTCTTATTTGACCTAGTTACTGTCAACATTTATTCCAGTACGTTCTTGTACAGTGTGCTTTATTTATATTGATTCCTTTTTTCACTTAGCTGTCATGCTGACTTCTTTTTTTACTAATACATATTAATTGAATATGTTAATGGGGTTCAGTGTGACCCACTGCATGTGCTGATCAAATCCAAGCACCCTTTTCCCATAGTCCCATAGCTCAGGAGTCAGAGTATGCTTTCAGAGTAAATCATTCTCCAGAGGGTTTCTCCAAAGAGCTCTCAGCAGAACTCCTGGCTCCCGTCCATCGTGAGAGAAGACTGTGACAGAGAACCTAGTGTAGCCTGCTCTGGCCTCAGAGTCACTGTCATATAGCTGTCATCTTTGAATTCCTGACACTGCTGTCCATCTGCCAGATGCTGGGATCACAGACATGAGCCCCACACCTGCTCCGGATTTCTATTTCTGTTTTAGAAGAGGTTGGTGACAGGCTGCTCCCACTGTCCCGGTTCTGCCAGGTCACGTGGTGTTCCCTAAGTGTGGGTCTGACTTACTGGTTAGATGCCCAATTGCTTGATGAGGAAAGAAAAAAAAAAAAAAAAAGAAACACTGTAGAAAATATAAAAATGAGAAAGGAGGCAGAAAATCTATACAGATAATCACTTACTGTGGAATCACATAGAAGGAAATGCCTTGAGGGGAAGCAGAGAAGAGTTCCATTAGCTTGACTGAGGATAAGCTGGGCATGAGCAAGACCTGGGAGGAGATGGAGCAGTAGTGTGTCTGTGTCTTCTTTTCTAAGTGGAAATTGATGACTCACAACAGATTGATAAATTTTAACCCGTTTCATGGCCTTTTCCACCCTAATTTTTGTGTCTTTTCAGCAGTTTCAATTATGCTTTTTGTTGGTATTGTTTATATTGTCCATTTCTAAATACATAGTCTTTGTAGAGGATGTTTTGTGTCATTACAAATTACACAAATTACAAATCCCTCTGTGAAGGTAAAAAGGAAGGTAGTAATGCTTTTCTTTTGGGGGTGGGCCTCCTTCCAGGCATAGCACTTTTGTACCTGCAGCTGTATCGGGTCACTGGTGACCAGACCTACCTGCTCCGATCCCTGGATTACGTGAAGAGAACACTCCGAAATCTGAGTGGTCGCAGAGTCACTTTCCTCTGCGGAGATGCTGGGCCCCTTGCTGTGGGAGCTGTGATATATCATAAACTCAAAAGTGAATGTGAGTCCCAGGAATGCATCACAAAGTGAGTTTTAAAAACTGAGAATGTCTCCAAATGTTTTGTTGAAGAATTACTGAGCATAGATGTTCAACAATTAAGTTATTTTCTAATTTGCAATTGCAAACAGGTCTCTCTGAAAAGTGAAGTATGTTTGTCTTAGTGGTGGGATCATGTGTTCTTTTCCTATGCATGCATGAGTGTGCCTTAATTTCAGTGGGACTTTAATAATCATTCTAAACAAGTTGTGATTTCAATGCATGAAAGTGAGTTCACATCCAGGAAAATAGTTTGAGAATAACTAACCCTGAGTTCAGTTTTTAGCTCTTAGTTTCAGTGAGGAGGGAATGATGATGGACTGTGAAGGTTTCTACAGTGGTTAGTTTATAATCTTCTTGAACAAGCAGAAAGCAAGGTCCCTTTGTTGGATATGGTAGAGTATCTGGCACACGAGGACATTGATGTTGTTGAAAGATGGAGTGACTGAGTCTTGCCTAAGCAGTAACTGTCTCTCAGCTCCATCTTACTTAGATTTTACATCACTTTCTTCTAATACTAGATTGTAAAGTGTGAACTCTGTTTTTACTGTATGAGTTAGAGCAATGGGGAGGTGGACATTTGGAGCTGAAAGAATTTTTTTCAGAGCTGGAGATTGAATCCAGGATCCCATATACTTTTTAACACTGACCTACATCTCCAACCTGGATATTTTTGTTCTTAATTTTGTTATTTGAAACAGGAATTAGTAGAGAGGTTTTGATTGTTTTATGAACTTGGTGTTATTTTTCAGTCATAATTGATTTTTAGACATTTTCTGGGATAATCCTTTGTCTTGTTGGTTAGACTTCTGCAGATGCATAGAACCATTGTCTGTCAAGAATCAGAGCTTCCTGATGAGCTGCTGTATGGGCGGGCAGGTTACCTGTATGCCTTACTCTACGTGAACACAGAGATTGGCCCCGGCACAGTTGGTGAGACAGCTATTAAAGAGGTATTGTGGGCCTACTGGATCTACTGATATTCAAAGCTAGCTGACAGCATACAGTTGTGTTAATACCCAGCCTCTGCTTCTAGGTGGTACTGATTTTTTAAAAAGTATGTCATAAGATGTTTTTTAGAAAATCATACCTTTCTTCTCAAACATATTTTAAAAATCAGTGATCTATATTGGTTAGGTTGTGTTTCATTGGAACTACATAGTTCAACTTCCAAAGGTTAAAGTAAGGTGATGATAATTGGGTACCCATACTCATTTCGTTCTATTCTGCTGTCCTCTACATATGCCCTATCCACACAACCAAATGTAGTTTGGTACCCTTAGCCTGCTTGGAAAGGGAAAAGGAACAGCTTCCTTTGTCAGGGTTGCATTTAGAAGGTGCCCACCTCATGCCTGCTCACGTCTCATTCCCACAACTTAGATGACTGGCGGAGGGCTGGATGCCCATTTAAAATGCAGCACTTTACTAAAGGGAGTCTTTGCTACAGAGTCATTCCATTAGACCTAACACAGAAGACCACATTTCCTCATCACCCCCTTCATCAGTGAAGCTAGTGTGTATACACTGTCTTGGAGATGTACTTGCTGCCTGTTAGAGAAAATGTCACAGCTTTGAAACAGGTAGATATTTGGGATAGTTCTTAATAGGAAGACTCTCGAGAATTTAGTCAACTTTTCATACTAAGAACTTCAATTCCATAAGTAGACTTCTTAACATGTTTTCTCTCAAGCATTACTTCCTGATTTCTCTTTGATTGAATTTATTAAATGAAAGTAATTGTTAGATGCTATGGCACAATCTTTTTGTACACTATGAATGTGTATTATTCTCATTGTTAATAATAAAGCTGATTGGCAGGCAGGAAGTATGGGTGGGACAACCAAACTAAGGAAGAGAATAGAAGGGTAGACTGAGAGAGACGCCAGCCACCCAGCTACCAAGAAAGCAAGATGTGTAGAAAGTGAGGTAACAAGCCACGAACCACATGGCAAAGCATAGATAAGAAATATGGGTTAATTGAAATGTAAGAGTTAGGTAGTGACAAGCCTGGGATATTGGCTGAATATTTGTAAGTAATATTAAGTTTCCATGTTGGTTATTTGGGAATGGTTGCGCAGGACAGGAGAGAAACTTCAATTTACAGTTAGATAATGGCTGCTTAAATTTTTTTATTAAATAATATCTGTGTTCTCCCACACACTAATGTTATTAGATTATTAATGTTAACATTAATAACTAATGTTATTAGATTAAGATGCTTGTAAATTGTTTTGATTTCTGATGTCTCCTTGTCTCTATAGGTAGTCGCTGCTATTATTGAGTCAGGAAAGACTTTGTCAAGGGAAGAAAGGAAAACTGAGCGCTGCCCCCTGTTATATCAGTGGCACAGGAAGCAATATGTTGGAGCAGCCCACGGCATGGCTGGAATCTATTACATGTTAATGCAAGTAGGTAGCAATTCTCTGGGATAATAAATATGATGACTGTATTACAGTGCATTAGACCAATATCAATGGGGCATTAAGTTCTTCATAGAGACCAAAGAGGCTGAATTGAAGGTTCCACTTTGACTCACAGCAGTGAATTCCTAAAAGGACATTCTGTATATAGTTTGTACCAGAATAGTCGCTTGTCACCCACAGCTTCCTTCTGTTTTTGTCCTGCTGATGAAGCAGGAACTCTGATGGAGGTTATGTGCTTCAAATTCACACGGTTAGGTTGATTTTGTTCTTTAAGAGAAATACAAATTATGAAACCTTTACTTCGCTCTTAGGTGAAGTACATAGAAGCACTATTTAGTAACTGCTGTTGAGAAACATGTGTCAGCTTTTACCGACATAGGTAAGTAGTGAAGCGGTTAAGAGCTGTATGTACATATCACATGACCACTGTCCTGTGGTCATGACATCTCTCAGTTGTCAATTCAAAGGCTGTTGGTATAGTCCACACGGACACGTTTTCAGTTGCGTTTGGAAAATGGGAGTCCTGTTTTTGCAGTGGTGGGACAAAAACAAAATTCCCGTACAAATCCTTTCTAAATAACACAGGAAGAGCAAAACCAGAAATTCCAACTGTGTGAGGACCCCAACATGAAAGGTATAAACTGAAAATAAGTGTACAAAATGGCAGGTGATCTACAGGACAGACCATCACCCAGAAATACCAGAGGATGCTGTCAACAAGAAGCGAGCCGGTTTCTCCCGCAGACCTAGAACCAGGGGACGTAAATGACAGGTGGCACACAAGCTGCACCAAGCACGCCTCCGTGTCCAGATGAAGCCAGCGTAGTGGAGGAAGGGGCTCCTTCACACGTCCCTAAGGAACCTTCGGCTCTGTTAGACTCCTCCTTGCAGCAATTCCTATAAGCAACCAAAGGAATTGGGGCCTGAGAAAGAAACCATCTGTTCTGATCAGAGAAGGCCAGGCTGGGAAGAGAGCAGAGGGACTTAAATGCCACGTGGTACATGGGAACACCATGTTGCACTACTGGCCTCAGACACCTCCACCTCTCACAACAATGGGCAGTACATCCTCTACCCCAGGGAAGAGACTAAATCCTCCTTTTGGAGACACTGATTTTCTAACTTTTTGTTGGTTGTTGCTGTGACTCTGGGCTCGCACTCTGGACTCCCTTCAGTTCCCAAAGTCTTTGTCATCTGTTGAAAACCTTCAGATGACACACACAGAGAATGTAGTATAGATAGATTATTTCAGAGAGGAGAGCACACTGGAGTTGTAGAGTGATAACAGGCAGAGGGACCATCTTCATTGTAGGTAGGTTTCATACTATTTCTGAAGTCTCTGAGTCAAGCAGCTTTCCTGGGGCCTTTTGTCCTATTCAAGTGGTTAGCCCATGCAGGAGGCAACAAAGCTATAGCTTTGTTATTTATCAAAAAGGTTCCTGTTAAACAATAATCTTATAAGGTTTAGGGACCCAGAAACCAGGTCTAGGTAGATATCAATCAGTGAACTCGAGGACAGTTCAGGATGCCATGTCTGTTCTCAGGGCCAGAAATTTGACTCAGATCCCATTCCTCTGACCAGTTACTGGAGTCCTGAGGTTCTAGTTCTTAGCTTTACAAGCTGTGATTATGAGGAAGAAGTCCAGCCTTGATGTGCTAATCCTGCTTATATTTAACTAGCAGCTGTGATAAAAATCCCTGCAAAAAGCAACTTAAGGGAAAAAGGACTTATTTGACTCCTGGTTCAAGAAGATACAATCCACTACAGTTGAGGAAAGCACAGTGCCAGGAATAGGAGGCATCAGCAGTCAGAGCTCAGGCCAGAAACAATGCCTACCTCTCAGTGACCCACTTCCTTTAGCTAGGGCACACCTCTTAAAGGTCCCAGGACTTCCTAAAACAGCACCACCCGCTGGGGGCAGATGTATTTCACATTCAAAACATGATACCTATCTCAGGTAGAAGATATGTAGACAACAGGTGTTTTCAAGTTCCCATTAAAAACAATGGCTAGGCATCTGAATGGTTCATTTGATGTTTACCTCTGCCTAAGCCATAGTGCCTAGACATTTGGTGAGACATTATCCTGGACATTTCCTTGAGGTTGTTTTGAGATGAGATGAGATGAGATGAGATGAGATGAGATGAGATGAGATGAGATTTTGATTTAAATTGCTTCACTTTGAGCAAAGCAGCTCTTGTCCCTTATAATGTGGGTGAGCCCAGCTCATCAACTGAAGTTCCTAATACAGCAAAAGGTTGACATGGGGTAAGCACAGGGTGTTCTCCAGCAGACTCACTGGACTTGGATAGCATTAGCTCTCCTGGGGACAGGGCAGACTGCCTTCAGCCTTGAACTACAACTCTTCCCTACATGTGCAGCCTGGTGGCCACCCCAGTCACATGTGAAGCTTGTAGAATGTAATTTAGCAACCAGTTCCTTAATGTCAAGCAGTAGTTGCATAGTTTAGTCTAGAAAGAACGCACTGAGTAGGAATATAACCAAAAATGGTGATGAGAAAATGACCTGGGGCTGATTAGAAGGGGAAAGTGACCTTATCTGCTGAGCAAGGGAAACGCAGTGAAATCTAAAATCCGTAGGACAGGATGTAACTGTGTGTGTTATTTAAGTCTAAAATCAGTAGGTCAGGACGTAACTGTGTGTGTTATTTAAAGAATAGTGAAGAAATCACTAAAAAAGAAAAGGCCATTTGTGTCTCATGAAGGAACATAGTTGTTGTTTTGCATATTACGTTTTCTAAACATTGTACTATGTGTTTTACTTTATTTTTTAAGACAAGATCTAATGTGGCAAAGCTAGCCTTGACCTCCCTGTGTAATCAATAATAGTCTTGTACCCTTGATCTTTCTGCTCTGCCTCTGAATGTTAGAATTAAAGGCATGAATACTTAAGAATTTAGCTATATAAAAAATGATTTTCTAAGCATAATTTAGTATTTTGAAAATAAACTTCATAAACTGTAGTTAGAAAAATACCTAACACATTCTCTAAATATATCTCAGGAAAACACCTAAAGGTTTTCTAATATGTAAATATTTTAAAATATTAAACTAACTTTACCTCAGCAAATTTTAGAAGCAAGTGTATTCCTTAAGTTGTCTTTTACTCCATGCTTAACAAGATCTTTTAGATAAGGAGATAAGATTTTATCTTACATAATAGTTATATTATAGCTATAATAGGATCATAGCAATTTCAAAGCAATATTTCTCTTTAGTCATAATAATATTTATACTTCATTTGGAAGTTTGTTCTAAGAATTAAATGAAAATTAAGTCAACGGACAGAGACTTCTTTAGCCAGACCTTATCAGTGCTGCAGACCTGTGAGGGCTTGCTAATGTGCCACACCAAACACATTCAGTTTGCCTCACTTGCAGTTGGTTGCTGCCAGTTTTTGATGAGAATTTGTATAGCATCTTGAAACCATTCAAATGTTTTATATTTCACTACTTTTATAAAAAACAAAACAAGAGTCCCTCAGAATAGTAAACATATTCCAACTGTTTGAAGTTCTAACTCTTTAGTAAAACTTTAACACAAATTTCATTCATTCTACAAGGTAACAGCTAATGAATGTTTTCAGTAATAACCAATTACTGAATGAAGGAGATAAGCATATACTTTTCAATGGGAGTTAATTATTCTGATTACCTTATAAAGAAATTACAGTTCAATAATTTGCCCAAAGTGAAAAGCCAGTTGATAGATTTGGGAGGTATGTTGTACTTGGCCTTTAGAAGGAGGCAAGAGCCACAAGGAGGAAATGAAAGGTTAGTATTTAGATAGCACACATGCACGCACGCGCACACGCACATGCACACGCACACATAAATCTTTCATAGTTCAGGGTTCAGTAGAGTCCTTCAGCTCTTCTCACTACTGTGTAGGATGGTTGATTTCAAGTGTTGGTCACAATTCATCAAAGAATAGAAAGTTCAACACAATGGAACACTAAGACATTCAAGATTTTGAAGAATTGAAACAAACAGAAAAGCTATATCTGAAAAAAAAAACCCACAAGATTGAATTCTAAGTTTGTATCTTCCTTAGTGTTGTGGATAATTAATGCTTTATTAGATTAGCCGTGCTATTGTAGTTAAAAAAAAAAACAGAAAAAATAAATTGTTTTCTTTTTGTGCCTTTAAAGCCAGAAGCAAAAGTGGACCAAGAAACCTTAACAGAAATGGTGAAACCTAGTATTGATTATGTGCGCCACAAAAAATTCCGATCTGGAAACTACCCATCTTCATTAAGCAATGAAACAGACCGATTGGTCCACTGGTGCCACGGTGCTCCAGGAGTCATCCACATGCTCTTACAGGCGTATCAGGTGAGTGCTCCTGTGTTACCCTAAGTGTCCAAGGGCAACCATAGTCTGCACCACCAAGCTCTCAGGTTGCTTCGGCAAAGCCCATGCTAGTGTACATTGAAAACTAGTTTTAAATTTTGATCTCTGTGTTAGTGCGAGTACACATGTGCCAGGTCCTATGTATAGAGCTCAGAGGGCAACCTTGGGTGTAATCTCTGTGTTCATGTGAGCACGCATGTGTCAAGTGCTGTTGGTCTTTGCCTTCCGTCATGTCTGAGCAGGGTCTGTTGTTGTTCTGCTGCTGTGCGTGCTAGGCTAGCTGGCCTGCGCACCTCTGAGGATTTTCTTTCCCTTGCTTCCTTTCTCCTGATTGGTGTGCTGAGATTACAGATGTGCATTATCACAGCCACCTTCACATGGATTCTGGGGGTCTGAACTCAAGGCCTCATGTTTATGCAAGAGCTTTAACTACTGAACCATCATCCCCACCTCACTTTCCACCTTTTAATTTAATTATTTGTGTATCTGTGTACATTGTGTGATCATGTATGTTTAGGTACATATGAGTGCCCATGTATTTAAAGGCCAGTGGTTAGCCTTGCAGCCTGATTTTTTCTGGATTTCTCACAGCCCTAGAACACACTGACTGGCTAGACTGGCTGGCCAGTGAGCTCCAGGGACCAGCATTTCTCCACCTCCCCAGCACCAGGATTACAAGCCAACAAATCTCACTTATTGTTTTAATTATACATATAATTTTTGAGATTTTAAAATAATGATATTAATTCCCCTTTTCCCTTTCCATACTCTGGTACCTCCCATGTATCCCCTAGCTTTCTTTCAAATTTATGGCCTCTTTTTCCTTAATTGTTGATATATGTATATATATTCCCTAATATATAAATACAGTGAGTTCACTCTATGTGACATTACTTGTAAATGTGTTTTGGGGGCTGACCATTTCATTTTGGATAACCAACTTCTGTGTTCTTCCCTGAGGAAGACTATTTCTCTTACTCTCAGCATTCCTCAGTTTAAAATCTGGAACAAGGCTGGGCATAGAGGTGTACTCCCTTTAACCCAGTACAAGGGACACAGAGGCCAGGAGATCTCTGTGAGTTCAAGGCCAGCCTGGTCTACATAGTAAATTTCAGGCATACATAGAGAGACCCTATCTCCAAACAAAATAAATAAATAAAATCAGGACTGAGGCAGGGTCATTCACTGTCCCCACTTATTTTCAATATAGTGTTTGAATCACTAGTTAAAACAGCAAGAAAAAAAAGTAAAGGGCCACAAGTCAGAAAAGAAGTCACACTATCCCCATTTGCAGATGACCTGCTCTCATACATAGGAGATCCCAAACATCCCACTAGAAAACTTCTAGAAATAATAAAAACTTTCAGCAAAATGTCAGGATACAAAAATCAACTTGTAAAAATTAGTAGCCTTTCTATACACTAACAACAGACACATAGAGAAAGAGATCATGGAATTGATACCATTCACCACAGGAAAAAAAAGACGAGAAAAAGTAGTAATAAACCTAACTAAGGAGGTAAAAGACCCCTATAGTGAAAACTTTAAATCTCTTAATAGAGAGATCGAAGAAGACATTAGAAGATGGAAAGACCTCTTATACTCACAGATTGGTAGAATAAATATTGTGAAAATAATCATCCTACCAAAACCAATGTACTAGGAAACAAGTATATAAGGATGGATGGATGGATGGATGGATGGATGGATGGATGGATGGATGGATGGATGGATGGATGGAGCACTATACTAGGGTGTATATAGATGGTCTAGTATATATCTCAGCGCCTCTTGCCCTCTTGAGGACTTCACACAGGAACTTCCTGCCACATGTTGCCTGGCCTTGGTGGCTCTCTGAAACTGTGGAGGATGATGCAGCAACTTCTTAACAAGCCTTGGCTGTAACACTGTTTCCTAGTGCTCTTTTTATCTTTAAACAGCATTTGCTTTTCTTTTTGCTCCACTTGCTCTTGCTCACTGTGGAGCTGCTTAATAGTCATTCATAATGACCGTACCACATATTTAATATTATGCTGGCTTCAAATTGCCTCTCCCAGAGAAATTAGTCTACTACTTAATGATTCAGCCTAAGGTAAGTTGTTAAGATGAGGGCAGAAAGCGCCAGCTTCTTTACCAATCTCATATAAATGGCCAATTAACTAGGAAACAAACTAGTGTATATGTATTTCTTAGTGTGTATATAGAGATAGATAGATAGATAGATAGATAGATAGATAGATAGATAGATAGATAGATAGATAGATAGACAGATAGACAGACAGATAGATGATACTAGATATGCTAGTATATTTAAAGGTCCTTGCTTCCCTCTGAAGACCTCTTGAGCTCTACTGCTACAGTCTACTTTTCTCTTCACAATCTCTCAAATTCTGCTAGGATGGCCCATTAAGCCCTGCTTACAGATGGAACCACTTTTCTAGTCCAAAGTCTCAAAGAGTTCACCATTCCTTGAAAAAAAGAATACAGTCAGGTTCTTTACAGCAATGCCCCCACAATTCTGGTACCGGTTTCTTCTGTTAGTTTACTTTTCTATTGCTGTATAAAGCACCGCGACCAAGGCAACTTATAGAAGGGGTGGTTTGTTTGGCTTACCGTTCTTCCTGGCAAGGAAGCATGGGAGCAGGCAGCAGCAGCCATGGTGGTTGGAGTAGAAGCTGGAGGCGCCCATCCTGAACTGCAGAAGCAGAGCGTGAACTAGGAAAGGCATATGGATTCTTGACCTCAAAGCCCACCGATGTATTATCTTCAGCAGGGCCACTTCCCCCAAGCCTCACTGGACAGCACCCCCAAGTGCAGACCAAATATTCAAATTCCAGAGCCCACAGGGAATATCCTCATTCAGAGTACCCCAGGAAGGAATTCATGCATGACATGGTAAAACTAGCCTACTACCCAGGGCTGGGGCCACCCAAGCACCCTAGGGAGAACCTACTATAGCCACTTCTCTAAACCAGGGTAATTTGTACCCACATTCGCAATACTTACCCTTCTACTCACAGATAAGTGTAGCTCTCGTATCTCATTTAAAAAAGCTTCTTTTTTCAGAAGCCAAAGACCATTACAGAAAGACACAACTGGTCAGAATTCAGAGAACAACTAACTCTCTATGGGGTTCCCAACAGCAACTGATACATGTAACACGAATTGCTAAACGGTCTTATTAATAACAAAAAACAAAAACAAAAACAAAAACCTGGAGCCA